GCTATTATACATACGTAACAGATCACTTCCAACCAGGGTCGGTCCTATCGTTGTTACTTTTTCAAAAATTTTTACGACCCCCTCCCCCAAGGTGGACTTGATACGACCCCCTTTTCGACACCTCGACCACCACCACCATCATCCTCTCTATAGTATTTAATTCTGGTACCACTCAACCCACCAAACTCCGCCCACTTTTTCCTCCAAAAATGCCGTCGAGCGGGGGGGGGGGTATATAGCTACTCCGAAACGGTAAAAATTCTCGAAAATTTCCTATAATTTCCTCTATTTCCACCATTTCACCCCTACTTTTACCCAATTTTACCTATCTTCCCACAACCTCATTTTCTAGGGGGGTATATACGCACGCTGAAACGGCGAATTTTTCTCCCATGCGCTCCCAACTCACCTAGCCTACTACTCGTGAAAACTCCACTTTCACCACAAACTCACATGTAATTTCACGCGACTGAAGCGGATACGACCCCCCCCCTCCTATAAACTCAACCAGGTACGACCCCCCGTTGTTACTAGTAACAACGTAGGATTGACCCTGCTTGAAACTGACTAACATCTACCCAGTCAAGCAAGGAATCGGGAAGTGGCGTCAACTTCTAACCAGGAAGGTCTTTCAGGGCGTGCCAAGCTTTTTGAAAACGGTCTTTTGCATGATATAGGGGCACATGCGGGAACCACAGAACCATGGTTAATTTTTCCTGAACGGCCCTCTCTGAATACCAGAAAAGGGGTCCCTAGTTCGATTCCTCGTGGTGACAAATTTTTGCATTTCGAGTTGACGTTCCAAAATTCGCGCAAAATGGAGTTAGCATGAATAATTAGTACCATATTCATGATTAGGACCGTCAGTAACCCTTACAAATAGACTTTGATTAAAAAACTGGTGAAAAAGTGCACCACAGTGGGGCTGCTTGATGTCACACCTCTCACACCAATTTTTAAGTCAAAGTCTTTTTGTAGGAGTTACTGACGGTCCTAATCATGAATATGGTACTAATTATTCATGCTAACTCCATTTTGCGCGAATTTTGGAACGTCAACTCGAAATGCAAAAATTTGTCACCACGAGGAATCGAACTAGGGACCCCCTTTTCTGGTATTCAGAGGGCCGTTCAGGAAAAATGAACCATGGTTCTGTGGTTCCCGCATGTGCCCCTATATCATGCAAAAGACCGTTCTCCACGCCTTGAAAGACCTTCCTGGTAAGAGAAGCGGACCTCACTACAAGCGGGACAGACGCTAAGGAATACGAAGAAGAAGAACTTATTGAGAGAAGTTCGGAAACAATCAGCTACTGCTGCAGATATCGCGCGGTACGAGTATTGCATCAGCGGAGTGGACTATGTTTCAGCGCATCGAACTATGTGTTATTCGAGCTGTATACCAGCGGATCAGGTGATACACCAGCAACTCGACAGCGTTTGAAAGTGGTAGGACTCCCTTTAGTGTGCATGTTGACTCTACCCACCTTCCCGAGCTCTCATGCCCTCTCACTCTCTTATGCCTTCGTGAGCCGCGGGAAAGTTGCGAGAGACAATTTCCAAAGTGAGTGTTGCTAGCGAATCGCTAAATTTTCATAGTCTGACACCGGCCTAAGGCACGCAGTCCATTGCTGAATAGGCAAGTAAACCCTTTCGATATCTCGACGACCAGTGCTCCAGCTGGAATGCGCATTGGAGAGAGCGTTGAGAAATTAAAAATGGACCAACTGGAGGGAGAGTCATGTGCTCTTCCCAGATAGGAGCAGCATCGGTGTGCGCAATGATTCTGGACAAACACTCATATGGCGAGTCCTGTAGAAGGCATAGAGATGGCATTATACCTCTAGATTTTTTAACGGGGTATACTCTCTGGTCAACGTTATTGTGACGTTATATCCCTCCTCAATCCGCGTTCCTTCGAAAGCGCATTCGGCTCCCAGTAGATTTCTTTTGAGGAACGTGCAACTGTTCGAATAGCCGAGTCTGGAAGTTACTGGAACGAAAGAATATTCGGCGATTGATGTGGTGTGAACGCTCCCCTGACTTGAACGCCACTGGACGCGTGCAGAATACATTGCTGACAAGTATTGTAGCAATGAATCCATATGAAGCAATAATTGTCCAGCAGATGTCATTCAACGTGTTCAAAGAAATGGAAAATCTTCCCACAGAACTCCTTAAAAACCTTCTGACCAGTACTGAAGCACGCTGCAGAGCATGCAGTGATCTCTGTAGTATTCACACCACTTATTGAGAATCATGTCCGGTCTTTTGAAGATGCATAATGGACGCAGTGAGCTCAGCGCGAGCGGTGTCTTCGAAGAAAAGGGTCAGTACTGCGAACTGGTTTTCCGTCAGTAGCCCTCGTGTTATTTACGGCAGCTCCTTCAATGTATATTTCATAGTGATATGTTTTTTAGCTGTAGCATAATATGCGAAAACTACTTTTGCCTTTAATTTTTGTATACCAGAGTAAAAGACTGTTTATGTAGGGATCTCAAGCGCACTGAGCACGTTAATATTATAAATGAACCAGGCTTTTACACAAATGTACCTAGTCCCTGAATAAGTTAGATAGACCCCAGTGAAGGATTCATCATGAGCCTTACTATGATTTTTCACGAGACTTACTTCACTAGGACGTTATCTGAAGCATTTCAAGATGTGAACATTCGAAACTTAAACTTCCCTTGAAACCATCATTATCCATCGACGTTCCTCTTCCTTGAATGCCTCCACGAAACAGAAAATAATATTAGATAAAATCATGATTATGATGCCACATAATTAGCGGATCATGAGCTTGTTGACGCACTGAAAACGAAAATCTGAGCAGCTACAAGTGATCGATGCGAGAGAAAGTTTCACTCCCTACAGAACATTCTCTCGTTGCTCGTAGTCCTAGACTTTGTTTAACACACTTACGACATTGAGACGCAGCGGTTTCTCAATGTCACCATGGTAAGTCTCACCATTGTCTTGTTCCATAGCGATTATACGAAAAAATAAGTGTAAACGACATCAGGGTGTGATCAAATATGCTCCAGTTTAGCAGAAAGTTTTTTAACACATTCACGCCGATGGCCGCCCATATGGGCTGCCAACAACATGCGCTCCTGGGACGATGGCAGCCCATATGGGCTGCCAACTGATAATCGCTTGCCAGGCGCTAGGAATGGACAGATAGGTGGGCAAACCTCGTAATCGAGTGTAAAATGCTTTTAAATTCCTTCACGGGGAAAGTGAATAAATGCTCTCTTTTCGTAACCACTATTTGTCGTTCTGATCGAAATCCTACTGTTATATGTTTAGATAATCTTTACGCATTGGACATTGCAGAAATTATTTTGTGACATTCATGTTTTTGTTCATTTACAAAACAAAATCTGCGGTTATGTGGTGAGGCGGCGGCGCCCACAAAATCGCGTCCGTCCCACGCGACCGAAAAGTGGAAAAGGGGCGTCGTCGTGAATGTGTTAAAGCACACCGGAATTGGCTGTTCGGTTCATCCCTCGTTTTCTTCCTATTCTGATGAACATGTCAGTGAGAAAAGGTAGTGAAAGTAAATACAAACTTAAAGGGATAGAAAGATATATGTTTCACTTGACACATCCACATCGAAAATAGTTTTGGCATCCACTACAGAGAAAAGGACTTGAATTCCAATTTTCTTTACCATTTCACGTTTTTTGATCGGAATTTCGCTACTATATCTTCGATTACTTTCTACGCATTGAATATTGCTGAAATGGTTTCGTACCTTTGAAGCTTCCCAAGGTTATCGTTCGAAATTTACGGGTGTGAGGTGTGACGGCCGCGCTCGCAAAAGCGCCCTTGTCCCACGCGGTGCAAAAACCCAAAACGCGCGATGTCGTCAACGTGTTAACCCTTTCCGTCCCTGGCAATGGCGATTACCACCATCAAATTCAAAGGTCTACATCACAGGTGCTACAGCATGCTTCTACTATCCACTGCTATAGATTACTTCAGACAACCTTCCCTACCTAATTATGCTTTGAACCCGAAATTTTATTGTGTGTTGTTGTTAGCATTACAAGTATTTGTGTACAAGTGCAACAATGAATCGGCGCTGGTCTCAGCAAGCTGCTAGGTAAGTGTCAATCATTTCTAAAATACTTGACATATATTCAATTTCTTATCAAAAACGTTAATATAATGTTGTGCAAGATCATAAACTTTTTCGACATGACTAAGAAATTTGGAATTGTTCGACACATGCTAAAGAACTAAGAAGGCTCTACCAATTTTAACAACTTTCTGGTTTGGTAAAATGCTGCTATCTCTGAGCCTCATTTGATATTGTGTTCAATAAGATGTTCTTGAAGCTCTTGGCCTTATATTTATTGGTGAGCTTTCGGCAATAATGCCATCATCAGACCAACCTTAAAATTACAATAATTACAAATCAACAACTACAAGACAAAGGACATGTTGCATCGACACATACCAGAAAGGAGAGAGAAGAGGGGCGGCCTATCGGGGTGGCTCGGGAATGAAAATGAGACGCCAATCCTGAGGGAAAGGGAGCTCACTGATCATGCCAAAAGCCTCAGAAGGTCACGTAGCTCTTCTTTCGCATTTATTTCTGGCTTGATGCGGTATATCTCCCGCGCTTCCATGATCTTTCTCTCCAGGGGCCGTATCATATGTCTATGAAGAACGCTCACGTCAAAAGACGGAGCGTTTTCATTCGTATGCCTTAGCGTACGGTGCCTAGAGAAACTGCACGATTAGCGGTAGGGGTAGGCGGCGGGTTT